AAAACTTTAACAGATTTTGTAACAACAGATACCATGTTCAATAATATATCATTGTCTGGTACAATCGTGTCAATGAAAAAAACTGTAACATATTTTGTAACAACATTTACAATTTTTAATAATCAAACTATGTCTGGTACAACCGTGACAACGATAAAAATGTAACACATTTTGTAACAACAGATACAATATATAACAATGTATGGAGAACCGCGACAATATATAACAATGTAACAATGTCTGGTCGAACCGAGACAATATATAACAATGTAACAATGTCTGGTACAACCGGGACAATATATAACAATGTAACAATGTCTGGTACAACCGGGACAATATATAACAATGTAGCAATGTCTGGTACAACCGGGACAATATATAACAATGTAACAATGTCCGGTACAACTGGGACAATATATAACAATGTAACAATGTCTGGTACAACTGGGACAATGTTATTTATGTAAAAATATAACATGCCATGGTTGCGCCAGATTCCTGCAGTTTTCGCTACCATTGCCACGGTTGTACCAGAAAGAAACCTGCATTTGATTGTATGTGGAAAGATCTTGTATCTCAAAAACAATATTAGAATGGAATTTACTCTCATCTGATATAAAGAACTCATCTAGCTTAAGCATATTTAAATCAAGCCTTAAAAGCAATATTTTTAACGAAACTGTTATTAACTCATCAGAATTGTCCATCTCAAGAAACCAAGAAATTATATTTAACAGAGTACGATGTGATTTCATTTTTAAGGCTCACCTTTACTCGCATAACTTTACCAATGTAAATTCCCCCATCTGCTCATGTGGAATTAACAGTGAAACAACCAGCCATGTGATTTTTCGATGTTACTTGAGATTAACATTCTGGTCTGAATTAGGGCTGTGCCGGAACCGGTTCGGACGGTTCGGAATCGGAACCGGAACTTGGTCTCACGGAATCGGAACTTTCGGAACCCCTTTTGGTTCACAAATGAAAATAATTATGTATGAGTGAGTTCGACGGCGATCATGACGATATCGTCGTCCAAGTTTGTCAGGTTAACACTTACCTTTCCTGTCAAGCAAGTTTGAATGTTTTTACGAAAGAAATAGACTCTAAAATCTGTAAAAAGAGAGAAAATTCGATCTTTTTTCTACTTGTTTTCACTTCCGGCTGCTCTGACCATAATGCGCATGCGTAATTGAAAAAGTTTTGAAACGAAATCAACGAAATTGAAAAACTGTGAAACCCAAGGAACAATGGTCACGGATATTAACGATTCAAAGCAAGTACTAAGGTAAGGGTCCGATATTGTTCCGAAACCCTTCGGAACATGATATTAAAATTCCGAATTCCGGTATTTTAACAAAAGTCCGCGGTTCGGACCGATTCCGGTCGAATGGCACGGCCCTAGTCTGAATTAGAAAACCAACTAAAAAATATGAATATACAATACTCCAGTAAATATAAGACACAACGTGAATAACTTTCTCTGATCCTCAATGGTAATAAAACATTAAGTAGAGCTGAGAATCTGATTGTTTTAAAGTGAAGTGCCATTTTCTTCGAGCGATGTGTAAATGTCTGAAATCCTCCACAAAACAATTTTTATCTTATTGTATCTCATTTATTTTAATCAATAGTATTGATTGAATACATTGTATATTGTAATTGTAGAACGTGGCTAATAATGCTAAAAGCACAGCCACTCACACTGTATTTTTGTATTGTATTCTTTGTACAAATGAATAACTTAATAAAAAAAAAAAAAAAAAAAGGTGTCACCTATATTGCCACATTTAGATTGCTCCCCCATTCAATATGGAATCATCATCCACTGTTAAGCACAACTGCACAAATTACACTGTCGTGTGTTGGGGTGAATTTAAGATTCCTGAGACTAAAATTATCTTTATTCATGCTGTGATTAAATAAAATGAAACATAGAATACCCTAACATATTTAAAACTTATTTAGAATAGCTTTTCTCTATTGAAAAGTCCTTTGAAAGGCATTATTTTGACAATCAATAAAACTAAAATTAACAATTTTGGCTTTATTTTATGACTCTATATCTATCTATCTTTGACTAGACGAATTTCACATCTATGGATACTATGAATGTTAATTAATACATCAGATAGCATTAAGATTGCATAATCTTTTAAAACTTTAAAAATTGAACCCTTCAAAAACTGTATCACCACCCACGCACATGGGTACGAGGTACGAAGCCAATACTTCGTCAATTTGGTCAATTTGGTCAATTTGAAGACCTTTTTTACCTTAAAGAATATACAGTAGTATCAAAGAAGAGTGCATTCTTGTTCTATTGTTTTTGAAAAATGGACACTGCAAGCTATCTAAAACCAGTGTGGCACAAAATATGATTGACAGTGTTTGGCTCAATATTAACACCTTGACTGTCACATGCAGTGCACTGAAGCTGCACTAGCTAATTAAACCCTTTTCAATCACTCAATAGTTGAATTGCAAACAAAAAATAAATAAAATTTTACACTGTACCTTGCCTGATACATGCAGTGCATTGAACCTGAACCAATTAAACCAACCCACTTCTTTACACACTTACCTCATAATTAATACAAACGATTTTTTCTAAACTTGGATCATGGGTCATTTACCTTTCATAAGAGTCAGTGTGGGGTTCAAATCAGATAAACTATTCGAACTTGCTCTTATGAGAACTAATAGCCTCAGGCCAAGCCCCTCTGCTATTATTTCTCATAAAACCCAGTACTCATAGTTTATGAATGATAAGAAGATTCAGTGACCTTCTATAATTTACAAACTGAACATGTTGCTATACCTTAGACGACTGCCTGGTTGTTATTCACTAAAGGGAGTCTCATTATAGGTTGGCACATAAAATGCTTTTGGGTTCCCTGGCTGCCACTTGGTTTGGGGTTTAGGAATAGAGGTTTTGGTTCAAATGAGGGATCCCAAACTTATCTGTAGGCCATATGCCTATGTAAAAGTAGAAGTAAGCTTATGAACATCGAGAGCACTCATAAGCTGCCTTCCTACTACTTTTCCCTAGGCCTATGCTGTCGGTCAATCGACGGAATTATGATTAAGCTTAGAGGTGCTGTGATTCCAGAGATTAATAAATGCTGCATCTAATATAACACCATTGTAATTAAGGGCATTCTTGAGTGGATTTGACCTAGGATGAAGAAACTATATAGGTGACCACGGGCTTTGAAAGCACATTATAATAGTCCATTTGTCATTTTCTTAATGTATGAATATTTAAAAACATGATGTTTTTCTGTGCAAATACTATCATTAGGGTTTATTGGAGTGATTTAGCTGGGTTGCCAAAAAATTAACGTTGGGGAAAATTTTTGTATCTATCACCATGGTAACATACAAGGTACATGGTGGTATCCCGACGCTAAGTCAATAGTCAACGCCATGTTTAGCCAATGCACGCCTCTCTAATTAGCCGATATACTTTTTTCCCCAAACTAACTTTTTGTCCAACCTAGTTAAATCACTTCAGAAAACCCTTGTTATTATAAATTAACCATAAAACATCATGTTTTTAACAATTCATAGGTTCACTATAGTACAGTATGTATAGGGGTGAAAAATGGACTATAAGTAGTATTCGCGAATTCAACTAACAGCTGCCAGATCAACCTACTAATTTATGGCTCACATTAAATATTAATAGTACCTGCTACTATTTCATTCATATTAAAATGAATTTGCCATCAAAAGTAGGTTAAATCATCGCCTTTTATCCAACATATGACATCATGAATACTTTCAAAGTGCAGTCTAATACTGAGTGAGCCAAAAATGAAGCCCAAACAAATTCCGCATCTGCTAAAGTGTTAAACCTTGTTTAATGTTCTTTCATTTTACTAAGTTTAATTGGCCCTGCCCAAATGGTCGGGATTTTATGGCTATAATACGAAACATGGTCCAAAAAGCCAGCCACATCTCATGACTACGGGCTATCTCTGATATAATGTCAACGCATACAACAAGTTGGAGAAAAATTTCTGTGACCGTGAACTTACAACCTCTACCGACCAGTGCAGGTCTGCCTGAAGGGACGAGGCTGAAATTTGTAGAAATATGGCCATAGAATTGTGACCATGAGAAATGGACCCATGAAACATGGTTAAACGCAAAAAGATATTACATGATAAAATTAACCAAATATATATAACATGGTAAGAAGTTCTAGAGCTTATTAACTTTTTGGTGGCCATCTTTCATTCAGTTTTCTCTTCAAAGTGCGATATTTATCACTGTGTGTCTTGTTCAAAGTCCTCGAGATTAGCCAATCAAAATTAAGTATTTAGCAATGCTGTTAATTAACTTACTAATCCTGACTATCTGTGCCATGTTAAAGTGTGGGTGTAACCTGTTATTTCAATGAGAGTTGCTAGCAACTTTAAAACCGGCCTTTAAAGGTTTTATAAGTAATGTGAAGGAATATTATATTATGGACAAACGAGTTGGCAGAGGTGATAAGTGGAAAATCATGGAAGCAAAATTAAACAAATGACACTGATGATTTCCCCTTTTAATAAAAAAATTGCCAAAGGTGTAAAATTCTTAAACACTAAAGTGTTACCAATAATGTATTATAAAATGTACGTTTTCCATGTAACTGTATTGAATTGTTTTTTGCAATTGCTTTAATATGTTATTTCTTCCCTGAAGTAAAATAAATAAATAAAATAAAAAAATAAAATAAACAAAACACATTAAGAATGACTGTATACTAGTATATTTTATTCTTCATCCATGTTACCCAGGAAAAAGTTTTGATGTCCAATTTTTAATTCGCAGGATCCTGAATTCACGATTTTACACTCACGCGAATATTCGTGAGTTCAAGATGCTCGCAATTTTAACATGTTTTACAGTAGTTGTGAAAAAAGTACCTGATAAAAAAGGTAAGCGCGAGATTGGTCTTGTAGGAATATCCCTTTAATGGAAGAGTTGAAAATTCTGTTTCGTTGCAGATACAATGCAGTGTTCCAGTTCTTGCTGTCTGTAAAACGTGCCCAGTTGGACCTGCAAAAGTGTTGGGGACTACAGATGCAGAGAAAGCACCGGGCGACTAAAGAAGCAGACAGCATTGTTTGGAATCTGAGGAATCACATGAATTTCCTTATGGATAATTTCCAGTACTATCTACAGGTAAATACAATCAATTATGAATTGGATTCATATAAACATTAGAAATCATCAAAAAATTAGGGTAGGGTCGGTTATTTTTTGCCCCACTGTTCTGCTGGAACTGTCCTTCTATTCATTTGGTGTAACATAGATATTGATCCTTTGCACAAATAATTACAGCTTTCCAATTCGGTGTCTTTGTTGAGAGAAATTGCTTTCTGAACTTTAATGTCAGCATGTGTATACTCTTCTCACTCGGAGCTTTTGTTTTAACTTGAATCCAAGTTGTTAGGAGGTTCATTTTGATTGAAATGTTTATCGCCGATTAAGGTAAAGATACCGCTTTTTATCACCCAGCACTTGACGAAAATAGTGGTCAACACTGAGTGAAGTGAATTCTCAGGAATTCCATGAATATTATATTTTGCGAATTAGTACAATTGAAATTTCATGGCTGTTATACTTCGCGAATTTTCCAAAACTTGCAAAAAGCATGAAATAATGTAGCATGCAAAAATTACGGGGAGAACAGTATATGATCCGAAAATCTGTACCAAACCGAGTGGCAAAAACCAAGAATCATACCGAACCATACCATACAAACTGTCTACTCTACAAAAAATGCTCTTTATTGAATGAAGATTTCCAAGAATTTTCATTCCATATAGTGGAGTCAGAATGAGGGTTAAGGCATGCGTTCAGAGGGATTTTATGGGACATAATTTTTTTTTTTCATGTTGCTCTTAGGTATTACTAAGGTATGTTGGTATAGGCTTACTGAATATATGATAAAAGTTTCATGTCACATGGTTAAGTGGTTGCCATGAAAATGGATAAAACACCCTTCAGGTGTCAATTTTTAGGCCAATTTTTCAGGAATGACAGAGTCATTTCGTACATATTTTGTCACCAATGTGTTGGAAGGGTTAAAATGTGAATAGAAAGCTTCTATAATATATTAGCAACAATCGTATGTAAAGATCAGTCAACAGAATCTCAGATTTTGGCCTTATATGGGTCCATGATTTATTCAGGGATCTATTTCACAGACTCAAACCCCCACATTTTAAGATTGGTCCTTCACTGCTTTCATAGCAGCCAATATAATCACTGGCGTTTAACGTATCTCAAACATCTACTTGTAATCATGCCTAGTAACAGAAAACTCACGGCACATGTATTTCTATAAGGAGTTTTATTAAATCCTTTGTTTTATTAACTACATGCCTGAGGAATATCCTCATTTAGTGGGAAATCCACATTTCCAACACCATTGGGATAGGGAGAAGGGGAGTTTTGTTTGAAAACCTAATGATATAACACATACGATTCAAAGCTAAATAATTCTCAAGTGTTTCAGCTAGTGTTATTTTCACAAAAACATGTATAAACAACATGAAAAATTATGTCCCTTAAAACCCCTCTGAACGGACGCCTAAACACTCATTCTGACTCCACTAATATTTTTTCTCATGACAAAATCTGTCACAATCACATACAAGCTCTAGACTGACAGAAATTCACTAATTTATTACCAAAACAATTATATGATTATTTCTCATTAGGTGGATGTTATTGAGTCGCAGTTCAGCATTCTCCTGGATAAGATCCACAAAACACGAGACTTTGAGGAAATAAGATTTGCTCATGAACAGTTTGTGACATCACTTCTAGGCCAGAGTTTTCTGTTAATGAGACCTGTAAGTAGTGATAGTTGTGAAGTAAAGTCTTTGTGTGTATAAGAACCATTCTCTTATTCAATAAGTAATACCTCCCACATTCAATTTAAAGCAAATTGGACTTTTGGTTCAAATGTTATCACTAGTTATCCCACCGGACAAAGTTCGAGGGGGATATAGAAAAGCCGTCCATTCATCTGTCTTGTGTTTGTGTGCCAGAGCAATAACTCAAATATCAGTTGACAGATTTCATTCAAAGTTTATAGGCTTATGCCTTATGGATGTAGGACCTCTACTCGAGAAGGAATTTTCAATATGGCGGCCATTTTTCGGAAAAAATATAATCGTTGATAACTCAAATACTATTGCATGGATTTGGTTCAAACCTTACATGCTGCTGCCTGGGTACAAAGGAGCCTTGCTTAAGGATGCAGTACCGGGTCGGTTTTCACGTCTGTTTGCGCAGGTTTGACTTCCGGTTTGAGGAAGCTAGCTCCCAAGAATCTCATTTTCGCATTTAGTCTTATTCAAAAATTATAGTTTATTTCGATAATGGTGTTTCCAGAAAAGAATTAAATTGCAAACATTTTATCAAGCATATTTTATCCCTTTCACTTTAATGGGAAAACTTGTTCTTGAGTCACAATTAGTGGATACGAAAACCAGGGTTCGAAAGGTGCCAGCTCTATTGAAAACTCAAAAAAGTAAAAAGATTCATTTTGGGTAGGTAAAATAATTTTTTATTTTGTAATTACCAGACGGTCAATCCCCTTCATATTGCACTTGGATGATGATAACATCATAGTGATACATTGTAACAAATATGAGCAAAATCTAATGTCTGGAACTTTTTCTACGCTGACCTGGTACTGCATCCTTAAGAAGACATTTTTAAGATGGCCACCATATTTCAAAATGGTGGCCATTTTTCATAAAAAAACGTTGTCTTTGATAACTCAAATCAAATACCTGTTGACGGATTTCATTCAAATTGTATAGGCTTATGCCTTATGGGTGTAGGACCTCTGCTTGAGAAAGAATTTTCAATATGGTCGCTTAATTCAAAATGTTGGCCATTTTTCGGAAAAAATATAATCTTTGATAACACAAATACTAGTGGATGGATACTAGCCGTTGCCTGGGTACAAAGGAGCCTTGCTCAAGAAGACATTTTCAAGATGGCCACCATATTTTAAAATGGCAGCCATTTTTCTTAAAAAACCGTTATCTTTGATAACTCAAATACCATTGATTGGATTTGGTTCGAATTCTACATGCTGATGCCTAGGCACATTCAAGAAGGGATTTTCAAGATGGCAGCTAAATTTCAAAATGGTCTCCATTTTTCATAAAAGAATGTAACCTTTGATATCTCAATTACCACTTGACGGATTTGATTCAAATTCTATTTGCTGATGCCTAGAGACAAAGAAGTTCTGCTCATGAAGACATTTTCAAGATGGCCACTGAATTTCAAAATGGCCACCATTTTTAGTAAAAAAACGTAATCATTGATAACTCAAATGTAATCCTATTTTCTTTACTTTATTGCTTTATTGAAAATTGTATATCGGATGTACGTTTGGCCCTAAAAGGGCATCAGTACTAATAAAATCCTATTACATGTTTATTATAAAAAAAAATACCAGTGGATGGATTTTTCAATTCAATTTATTTATTTCATAATTCTTATATAATATACACTATAAAAATAAGCCGCTAGACACCCTAGTGGGCATATGTTGCGGTTTAACAGAAATTTTTAAAATGACATCTAGACTACATATAAAAGAAAGCACTTATATTATGTTACATGTAGGTATATAAAATGGTATTAACAATTACTTTAAGGATGTACAATGTAGAAATGTTACAAAAAATCAGGTACCAGTATAAAATCAACAATACAGTATAATATTGGTATTATACATTATCGATAGATGAGTAGTTTTTTATATGAAGATTTGAAAATATTTAGAGTGGAGCATTTTTTGATATCATCTGGTAGAGCATTCCAAAGATTAGGACCTAGATAGCGAAGGGAAAGTTTAGAGCATTTAGGGATATGAAAATAATGCATAAATGCATGATGAACATTAATGTTGATATCAAACAAGTCTTGAAATAGATTTTTTGGAAGATGGGTGTGTTTATTAAAGATTTTGTACATGAACTGACCAGTACAATATCTGTTAACATAAAAAATATTTAATATTTTAAGATCTTTAAATAGGGGAGTGGAGTGAGAAAGTCTATCCTTATATAAAGCTAGCCTTAAGAATTGTTTCTGCAGTTTATGTAGACAATCATAAAATGATTTAAATGTGTTACCCCAGATTATGTTGCAATAATTTAGTTAAGAGTGTATCAATGAGTAGTAAATTGTTTTGAAACTGTCTATTTGAAGTAGATGTTTAATGTGATCAAGAGAACCAATAACGCGAGAAATCTTTGTTTCAACAGATTTTATGTGCTCTTTAAATTTCAGGTTTTTATCAATAACTAGATGTATAAGAAGATTGCAAGCAATCTTACGGAGGCCCCGTAGGCTTTTTTGAACATTTAAAGGTCAGCCAAAGGTCAAATCTTAAATACAAGGTCATATATGAACTCCAGGCATCTTGTAGATGATTTAAAAAAAAAGTTTGGTCAGTTTGAAGCAATGTGAAATTTGACCTTGAAAAATTTCAACATTAGACCTTTTTCAGATTTTGAGGTCCAATATCTCAAAACTGGTGCAGAATTTAAATAAATAATCAATTGTTAATATGTGTAAAACCTTTAGAGGAATATATATCCTGACTTTAATTCAAAAATATTGATTTGTAGTCACAAACTTTGAGAAACTTAGAAAACACAGTTTGTGATCTTGTTTGATGACCTTGACCTTTGACCTTGAAAATTTTACATTTTTAGACCTCAGTATATCTTTTCTGATTGAATAAACTTAAATTTGAATCAAGAAAATCAATTTGAAAAATCAACTTTGTTGACCTTTCGAAGGTCACTGAAGGTCAACTAAAGGTCATAGGTCAAAACTAAGGTCAGATTTGAGTTCCTGAGATCTTGTAGATGCTTTTTAAAAAAAAGTTTGGTCAATTTAGAGCAAGTTGAAATTTGACCTTGAAAAATTTCGAAATTTGACCTTTTTTCAGTTTTTGAGTTCTAATATCTCAAAACTGGAGCAAAATTTTAATAAATAGTCAATTGCTAATATGTGTAGAACCTTTAGAGGAATATATATTCTGACTTTCAGTAAAAAAAATTGATTTGTAGTCTCCAATTTTGAGAAACTTAGAAAACACAGTTTGTGATTTCGTTTGATGACCTTGACCTTTGACCTTGCAAATTTTACTTTTTTAGACCTCAGTAGGTCTTTTGTGAATAAAAATTCCTAAATTTGAATCCAGAAAATCGATTTGAAAAATCAACTTTTTTGACCTTTCGGAGGTCACTGAAGGTCAACCAAAGGTCAAAGGTCAAAAGTAAGGTCAGATTTAGAATCCTGAGAACTTGTAGATGAGTTTGAAAAAAAAATTAGGTCAATTTGAAGCAAGTTCAAAAAAGGCCTTTTTTGACCTTTTTTTGACCTTCAATATCTCAAAATCTAGGCAAAATTTCTCTAGACGGCAGAAGGCTAAGACTAATAGAATACTAATATCTATCTGTACGCAAAAATTCAGCCAAAAATATTGAAGTGTAGTGTCAGGATTTGAGAAACTTGAAAAAAACTTAGATTTGACCTTGATTTTGACCTTTGACCTTGACCTAGATAAAAATTCCTTTCCCGCCAAGTTTAGCCAAGGTCCCTAGTAGGTGCATATAGTAGATAGTTGAAAGGTAGTTGGAAGTAGGAGAAAAAGGTTTAGGAAGAATAAATAATAACTAGAGATCTAACGATCTAAGATTGCAAGCAATCTTACGGAGGCCCTATATTCGTTTCTGAACATTCAAAGGCCAGCCAAAGGTCAAATCTCTAATACAAGGTCATATGTGAACTCCAGACAACTTGTAGATGACTTTTAAAAAAGGTTTGGTCGAATTAATGCAAGTAAAAATTTGACCTTGAAAAATTCCGAAATTTGACCTTTTTTCAGTTTTTGAGCTATAATATCTCAAAACTATAGCCAAATTTTAATAGATAATCAATTGCTAATATGTGTAGAACCTTTAGTAGAGGAATATATATTCTGACTTTCATTTAAAATATTGATTTGTAGTCTCCAATTTTGAGAAACTTAGAAAACACAGTTTGTGATTTCGTTTGATGACCTTGACCTTTGACCTTGCAAATTTTACTTTTTTAGACCTCAGAAGGTCTTTTGTGAATAAATATACCTAAATTTGAATCCAGAAAATCGATTTGAAAAATCAACTTTTTTGACCTTTCGGAGGTCACTGAAGGTCAACCAAAGGTCATAGGTCAAAAGTAAGGTTAGATTTGGAATCCTGAGAACTTGTAGATGAGTTTTAAAAAAAAAATTTGTCAATTTGAAGCAAGTTGAAATTTAGTCTTGAAAAGTTTCGAAATTTGACCTTTTTTCAGTTTTTGAGTTCCAATATCTCAAAATTGGTACACAATTTTAATAAATAGTCAATTGCTAATATGTGTAGAACCCATAGAGGAATATATATCCTGACTTTCAGTAAAAAAAATTGATTTGTAGTCTCCAATTTTGAGAAACTTAGAAAACACAGTTTGTGATCTTGTTTGATGACCTTGACCTTTGACCTTGCGAATTTTACTTTTTTAGACCTCAGTATAACTTTTCTGATTAAAGAAACCTAAATTTGAATCCAGAAAATCAATTTGAAAAATCAATTTTTTTGACCTTTCGAAGGTCACTGAAGGTCAACTAAAGGTCATAGGTCAAAATTAAGGTCAGATTAGAGGAATATATATTCTGACTTTCAGTAAAAAAAATTGATTTGTAGTCTCCAATTTTGAGAAACTTAGAAAACATAGTTTGTGATTTCGTTTGATGACCTTGACCTTTGACCTTGCAAATTTTACTTTTTTA